CGAAATATTTCGAATGTGATGCGTAGACGTAGCTTCATCCAAGATTCGTCAGAAATCAAACAGCAGCATGTTAGGCGACTGTTTCTCAAGATTGGGTGACTCATTCTGACGAATTGTCGTCCCAAAAACATCCAAAAACCATCTTAAAACGCCCATCAAGTAAAGCTGAGGATTGAATATGTCCAATCATCCCAATCATCACGTGAAGGATTGTGAAGGAAAGTAGTCTTCCAAGACGATCAAATAGCAGGGTCTTCATGTTAGTTGCGGGGATGCGTTTTCTTTAACCCTCCGGTGTCATGGCGGCCATGGCGTGCAATGGACAATCCCCCAGTGACTTCGATTTTTCATGACACCAGAGGGTGGATTTTCGGATCCCATGAAGACCTCCATTTGGATGTGGGTCAAAACCCTGTACCCCCAGTGAACCTCAAGGTTGATGGTCATCCCTTATACCACATGATTAGTAGGTTTTGACCATACCCATTTATACAGAAACCCCCCAAGATTAAGTAAGGACTGAACATTGAAGCAATGCTTCCAAAGTACATCCTTCGAAGACCCACCGTATCATCAGGGCTCTCCTCCTGTGCTGAACAGTGAAAGGGGCTGGCATTTCATGGGTGACCCCAACGATCATCAAAAATAGGTCATTTATCATAGGGAAACCACGGGGTTTACCAATGTTTTACCGCACTTTTGAGAAACAGTATGTTTTTCCCACTTTGCTTCCAATTCTTTTGCGCTTCTTATCTTCTTTTATGTGGCAAATATACAGGCCTGCGGCCTATTGCTATCATATGTCGTGTTTCAAACATTTTTGCTTTTGAGTGGGTACCAAATGGACCACACAAACACACAAACACACAAACGCGCGCACACACACACACACTTTGTGTTACTTTGCTGTTTTTGGGGCGATTGACCGATAACCAGTTGAATAAGTCTGGTGCCACCAACATAAGAGTATGGGGCAACACAATCAGGTACCCCAAAATGGCAGTGACAAGACTGAACATCAATACAACGCGTGGTCTCAAATAGTGGTAGGTTGTGAACATGTGAAACATACGTACAGTAGTTGTGCTTATGGTCAACACACATATATATATATACACACACATATATATATGGGTGCGAGTCAAAAATCGGGTATGGATCGCTCCGCGGTGATCCGTACTATGGATCGCGAGTGCTTACGTAAGGTGCCTGATCCGTACCCTTTCGTAAGGGCTCATCATAGCATACAAACTGTGCTGATACTCCCCGACTTGCTATTACTTCTCCTCCTGCTACTGTTGCTGCTAAAACTGTTACCACTGCTTGTCGAGGGAGCAGAAAAAAAACAAACAGCACCAGCAGCAGTAGTGGCAATAGAAGGATAAGATGCAGCAGCAGTAGAAATAGCAGTAGCAGTAACAGTAGTACTAGTAAAAGTCAATAGTAATCTAATGGTAGTAGCAGCAGTAGCAGCTGCAGTAGTACTAGGAGTAGTAGGAGTAGGAGTAGGAATAGCAGCAGCAGCAGCAGGAGCAGGAGCAGGAGGAGGAGTAGTAGTAGTAGTAGTAGTAGAAGCAGCAGCAGCAGAAGTAGTACAGTAATAGAATCGGACTTTCATATTGGCATTTGTTGTGGCGTGACTGGGTACGGGTATGGATCGGGTATGGAACGGGTATGGATCGGGGTATGGATCGGGACACGCTATCTGGGCCGGCTTTCACGCTATGGCTGTGAAGGAAGAGAGCGGGGTATTTCAAGTCTAGTCTAGTTCTACACGTGCCAGATAAAGCAGAAACAGAAGGAGTTGTAATCATAGCGCCACTAGAAGTACAAGAGGCACCTAGTGGAACTAGAACCGGTCTTACTAGCCTCCAAGGTGCGCTTGCAATATTGCTAGTAGCTACTCAACTAGTTGCATTTGTCCAAATACCAGAAGCACACGGAGGAAGTGAACCAGCACCAGCAGCGAGAGCAGGACCAGCAGGAGCAGCAGCAGAAGCGACAGCAGCAGCAGCAGCAGCAGCAGCAGCAGCAGCAGCAGCTCCTGGGAGGAAGATGACTAGTAGTGGCAGCAGCAGCAGCACGGAAGCAGCGGAGGCAGCGGAGGCAGCGGAAGCAGCAGTAGCAACGATAGTAGCAACAGTAGTAGCAACGGGAGTAGCAACGGGAGTAGCAACGGGAGTAGCAACGGGAGTAGCAGTACGAGGACCAGAAGCAGTATTAGGATAAAAAGCAGCATTAGGGCCAGCATCAATCTTTGTTCAATGAGAAAGGGGTATGGATCAGGGGTATGGATCAAGGGTATGGATCATGCAGTACCACAGGGTATGGATCAAGGTATGGATCGGGGGGTATGGATCGTGTGTGGGTTCGGGGCCTTGATCCATACCTTGTATTTTGACTCGTACCCATATATATAGTACATATGATACACCATATACCCATGGACGGTTTTGACACCATGTATCCATGGTTGGTTTTTGTGTCTCATCCTACCCTCACCATCTGAAGTGGTCTGAATTCTGTCCACCAACAGTGCCTCAGCCAACCAGCGATAGATGTCCCTTGCAGCTGAGTACAATCCCCATTTTTAACGGTTTAAAGTTTAAAACCACCGATATCGGGCAATGGCAATAGAACATCACGTGGTATTGTCATGTCTTGTCCAAAGAATGGGAACACAACATTTCCAATGAATGAACAACATGTCAAGAGTTTCTTCATTTTTTACGGCCAAGACTGGTGGTTGCCATAGCCCAAAAAATGTCAGCCATGGACCCACTCCTCGCGGATCTGATCTTGCGGATACATCTCTTGTTCGCTGGAATTTCCTGGCAAATCTCTATTTGGTTAGTTGATTTAGTTGAGATCTGGCTGGATCTGGGTCTCCAGAAACATGACTTTTTGAATCTTTTTGATACTTTTTGTTGGGATTTCTTGGGATTGGTGAAGCATCATGCTGTTTTCGTGGCGACAGATCCCCATGGAAAATGATGGGCTTTGGAAGATGATTTTTCCGCTGGTTGGTTGAGCCAGCCCCCTGAAACAGAGGACATTCAGTTGGAATCCTCCCTGCAGGGTTGACACGAACCGACATATTTGACAGCACTAACCGCTGCCAAAAGCTCATGCCAACAATGCTAATACTAACATTTACGGACTTATTCCAAGATTCTTCCGTGAATTGTGCATTCTCATTATCTTCCGATTTTTTTCGGGTTTTACATCATTTTCCTTGTTAACCTGTTAATCATTATTTTTTATTTTTTGTCCATTGATGTTTGTTGGAAATTCCCATTTGTAGCAATAGAACATCACCATTGTTTTGAACAATTCATATTATCTATAAATGGAATATGGGTAAATCATCTATAAATGGATTATGTTCCATCATCTATAGATAATTTTGTCGTTGATTTTCCATTAAGCAGACCTTCTTTTATAGGGGATTTCCCAACCGCCCACCTCGTCCCTCAGGGCTTGCTGCCCGTGCAAAGTCTACCCTGGGACAACGTGAACGTGGGGTATCCGGTTCACTAAGCTCCAAAAAGAAATAGAGACGACTTCAAATTACATTCATTTTATCATGTTATTTTGGTGTGATTTTATTTTTTCTGAACACTGTTGTAGCTTTTTAAACCATCATCATACCATTTTTGTATTTTGTTTCAAGCCACTGTTCTATTGTATTTTGGGGTTGCTGTAAACTACCATAGACATGACATCACACACCATTTTGTGGATCATTTTCTTACACAAAAACCACGTATTGTCAGGGATTTTCCATGGGATTTTCCATATCCGTATTACCAACGATCACCAGTCCGGGACTTAGTCATGAGATGTGTCCATCCATGCCATCCAGCAGGCGCAGCAGGCGCACTGGTCGATGTCTCCATCCAGAGGTGGAAATTGCAGATCAGCGACTGCTTTGCCTGTTCCAGCGGCGTTGTTTGGTGAACTTGTCTCATTGGATTGGTCTACGGGAAAATTTACAGGAAACCATAGATTTTCCCATTAAATATGGGGCTTTCCTGCAGATTTTCCCCTAAACCAATCCATTGATTGTCTCATTCGATTATCCAATGATGAAGTGTATTTCTTAGATTTCCGAAAAAATATCCAATGTAAAATGATTATACAATTTTGAAGGAGCAAAATTAACACCTGTCAACAACCTGCAAATTATTCATAACTGTTTTCGATGAGTGGTTTCAACCCATCCAGAAAATCTGCTCGTCATCGGAGATCATCATCCCATTTTCAGGGTTCGAACAAGCACCGTTTTAAACCACCAGCTAGTAGTTAACTATATTAGTTATAACTATATGCCCATTATTGTATAATGTAATGTTAGTAGCTATGTTAGTTGGAATAGCCTATGTATTCCATTATATCAATAACATTGTAGTATTATATGTTTATATTATATCTCCATTATATCCCCATTATATATTATATACCCTTATATATCCCCATTGTCGTTGGTTAAATTCCACCCAAGGCACAGATGGCGGGTGAAAACATGGGCGAAGGGAGCGGAGACCTCTGCCATTGGCGCCATTGGAAGCACCGAGTCTTTGGAGTCTTTGGGAAAAAACGTGGAAAAACATAGGGAAAACCATGGGAAACCATGGGAAACATGGGAAACTATAGTTTTTACATGTTTTTTACCAACGTAAACTATAGATTTGACATCCGTTGACTAGGGTTTTGAAACATGTTCAAATGGATTTCACCGGCAAAAACACTTTCTTGGCACTGGGCACTAGTTATGTTTCGGGATGTCTGCATCCAAATTTGACCGTTTGCAAAACTTGTTCTTTCAACCCATCCCAGAAACATGCAGAAATGACTCTATCATCCCAGATTGGGATAGAACATGATGAAACATGTCTGCTGTTTGAGTCACTAGCTAGATCTAGCTAGTCATCTTGGTGTGTTTGTAGGTAGGCGCTTGGAATTCGAGAACGAAATAAAAAGTGTCACAACACAAAGTGATTGCTTGTTTCAACCCCCTGAACCACAAGGGCACTCACTGTGGTTCATCATCCTAAGATGGAAAACAACACATGAAACCATCAACAGGAATATATATATATATATTAGTACACAGTATACATTAATAACATGTATATATATATAATGCCTATATGTTCCACTATATCCCATGCTATCCCCGTTGTATATAGATTATGATAGTTGGTTAGATTCCCATGAAACATCATCGCAGGATGGAACATATGCAAACTTCTTGGGAAAACAACAACAACAGCAACAACAACAGCAACAACAACAACAGCAACAACAACAACAACAACAACAACCACCGAAACATTCACGTTTGTCTCAACATGATTCATAACCAAAAATTCCCATTCTAAATCCTTACAAACCATTATAGTTGGTTTGATAATAACCACTCATCACCTAAATTCCGTGTAATAGAACATTGACATTTTTTGATATAGTTATGTTATGTTACGTTGCTGTGTAGTTTCAATGTGTTGAAGCACCAACCACCACCAACCAGATACCCTCTGGTAAACTAACATAACTATGGAAAATCACCATGGGAAAATCAACTATAAATGGCCATTTTTCAATAGCTATGTAACAAATTACCAGAGGGTAATGTTCCAGTCGACTGGATCTAAGCTGCTGGCGGAGCAATTGGATACGCGAAACCTGGATCTCCAGAGACTTGTCGACCTGGACAGGCGATGACAGGCGATGACACGGAGGGAATCACCGGTGATGGAGTACCCGGAGGGTCACCCAAAATAGCTGATTTGTGGATGCTTGTTTCAGCTTGTTCCTCCGAATATGGTAATAATATGTAATAATATGGTAATACTTGGTCTTGAGCCATTCCCGAATTTTCTATCTTGATATATCTTGATGTTTGATATTCCTATCCTGAATTTTGAAATATTTTGAATATCTGTCAGGATTATCGTGTCCGTTGTTGTGCGATTGGACCATGTTGGACCATGTTGGACCATCCTATGATGGGTCAACCAGTCAACCAGAAATGCAACCCTAAACCCGTAAACAATAAACAAGAAACACATTGACTTGGAAGGGATGGTGTTTTTCTTGAACTTTCACTATCATTTCCAGGTCATTTCCAGGTCATATACCTGGCCACCGAAAAAACCATCCGCTCCCGTCCAACGACTCGAACTTTCCCCGCTGGGAAGCCCAACGAATTGGTGACGTGGCCCGGATGGAGAGAAGATCCAAGCTCTCCACAGTGGACGAGACCTGATCCACTGTGGAAAAGTAACACACTACCCTCTGGTAATTTAACGTAGCTATGGAAAATGACCATTAATAGTGGATTTTCCCATTAAAAATGGTGATTTTCAATAGCTATGTTAAATTACCAGAGGGTAATAATGGTTGATTTATCCAATAGTTGATGATCCAATAATCATATCCAATATTATCCAGTAGTTGATTATCCAATACTGTATCTGCTAATAGTTGATTATCCACTAATAATAGTTGATTTATCCAATAATGATTGATTATTCAATAATCATATCCAATATTATCCAGTAGTTGATTATCCAATACTGTATCTGTTAATAGTTGATTATCCACTAATAATGGTTGATTTATCCAATAATAATTGATTATTCAATAATCATATCCAATAATCATATGTAACATTGATAACACGTTTTGATTGGGGAAGAAAAGACAGGGCATTTTGTCAAGATTTGATGATAACACACACACACCAATAATTTAGTGATACTGTATTATGTAATGGTTGATTATCCTGTAATAGTTGATCAGATTGGTTGGTATGATATGTGATCTGTCAATAATATATATAATTAATATATATATATATATATTATAATTATATATGTGTATCAATGTGTATATATATAGGTAGCAACTATTAAAAACTAAGCTAGACCAACCCAGTGAGAGGAGACACCCATCAACGAATGGTGGAATTGTGGCCGTCAATAGAATTCGTCACCCCGGGTACCTCCATTTTGATCACTGTTGACAATACCCCCCCAGCTAGCCTCTGGTAAACGTTTACATAACTATGGAAAGATCCACCATTCTTAATGGGAAAATCCACTATAAATCGCTATAAATGGCCATTTTCAATAGCTATTTGTATGTTTACCAGGCCGGCTACTTCTACCTTTGCTGTATCTTCCTGTCCCATGATGGCTACACCTTGGCGCCATCAGGGATCCCGGGCAGTCCCATGTGCATCACCCACCGCTGCTGCGGCGGAATCAACACCTGGGAGGGTGGAACACTCGCTATGGCCATACATGGGTGGTATAAACCATCCCCAAATGATAGTTTTATCATTGAGTTTACCAAAGTACTGCAATGACATGGTCAGTCATAGGGCCAGCAATCCCACCAAAAAACATATTTTGAAAGTGAAAAGTCACTGCACTTCAGAAACCTTGAACACCTTCAAAGCTTCGTGTCAGTCCAGAGCTGGGTTCCGCACATCTGGATAGCATCCGCTCCAAAATGCCTGGGTCAAGGCCCACACATTCTTAAGTGCCCAGCATTGCCGCGGGGTGGTTGGAAAACCCGCGGATAAAATGGAACAAAGGCAATTGGGGTTCACCATCACATGGTTGTTGAGATGGAACATCAATATACATATATATAATTAAATCAACTATATATATATATATAAATAGTATATTGATGTTCCATCTATATAAATAGTATATCAATAGTATATTAAATCAACTATACGTATATATATATAAATCCATCAAACCATAGGATTAGTTATATCCTGCAAATTAAGGATCATCGTATATCTGGCTAGTATATATCCCTCAGCAAAAGTGTTCGCTGTACTATATTGTACTGAACCATATATCCAAAGTCTACCTAGACTTTTGAGGCAAAGAAATATAGATGGTTAGACGAATTTACACATCCCCCCATACAGTCCTATCTTTATAGCCACCCAAACCCATATGGATTTCAAAACCACGCTTCATGTTGTTAACTCCACTTTTTTTTTGTAGCCCTTCTGGTTTTTCGGTCGCCAAGAAACTGGGTTGAACCGGAGCTTCATCCTCACTGCACCGGTCTTCCCGGTACATGATGAGGCCAATCTGATGAAGCGACAAGCCATGCTCCGCCCCCTTCTGGAGCAATGTGGTGGTCCTGGTGCTGCGAGGCTATCGTCCTTAGGGATGTACCATCCATATCTGTGGCAATTTTTTTTGGGGGAAAGAAGTGAAGATGAAGTGATCAATTCCAGCCATTTATGGCAATATTCATAGGACCATCTATAATCAACCACCAGATTTTGGGGTTTACCACAAATTTATATAAATTTCGTATCCTGGGAGATGTGACCAAAGGTGTGGCCAGAGTGAACTTCGAACAATGAGAACCTCTCAACTCAGAAATCACAAACCAATGGGCTGAACATGGGGGATACCCATAAAGTCCCCTAATTTTATGGCCATTTTATATAGTAGGGACATTTCATGAAATTTCAAGTGATAAACCATCAAATAAGCACTTCTGTTGGGGGGTCCTCATTTGGGCCGACCACCTATGTCTGAGCACCGAACACCTCAAGCAGTCGCAAACATTCACGGCCTCGGAGAGGCCATGGGACTTCCCCGAACTGGGTCAACTTAAATGGAAAAAACATCTATGAACTGGGAATCAAACATGGCAATCATAGATGTTTTTCCTATGATTTTCTATGTTTTTCTATCATTTTCCGAACTGGGAATCATCATGTTTCCAAAAATCTATGGATTTCTTGTGATTTCTTGGCAGATGTATCGAGGCTCCGGGCGAACCCCCACCTGATGTTCGATGTTGGCAGCATCTCGAGCCCCATCCAAAGACCTGTGGGGGAAGGGTCACCATGCCATTTTAGGGGTTCCATAGTCATGGAGGTACCCCTTTATCGCTGGATGGTTTTTGTGGTGGAAAATTCTATGAAAGTGGATGATTTGGGGGGACCCCCATTTCAGGAAACCTCCACTTATAGCCTGAAGATTCCATAATCCTGGTATATCCGATAGTCAATCTTATCTTCCACAGTTCTTACCCTCTGGTAAACTAACATAACTATGGACAGATCCACCATTTTTAATGGGAAAATCCACTATTTCTATGGCCATTTTCAATAGCTATGTAACAAATTACCAGAGGGTAGATGTTCTGATAACACCTTGATTTTTGTTGGTTGTGGTTCTCTCCATAAAACATATCCATCATTGACCATGCTGCTTCTCTTCCCTCCAAGCTTGGGGATGACCTAGCAGCTAGCATTGAATCAACCATGGTGACTTGGGGATCCACCATTTAAGGAACCACCATATATATATATTATAATATGTACATATATATATATATATAGTGATATAATCAATAATATTAATGAATTGTATTTGTAATGATTACTATTCGCTACCATATGAGTAAATCATAGTACATCAATATTCATAGTCCATTAATAGTTACTTTTACCATGCAATAGTAATCATTGATCATCATTCATTCATTGTACTATTCATCATTATGAATATCATAGTAATAATGACAACAATGATTTACATGGTAATTGTAATATATAATGATGATCAAAGGGCCAGGGGACTGCCAATGGATTGGTCATCTTCAGTATTTATATCTGGATAAATTACAATACTTCACTACAGTCACCTGAAAAGTTTGGCTATTCTTTCCATCGTTACCCCAATCCTTTCCAATCATTCCACTGTTCCCAATACCCTCTGGTAAACTAACATAGCAATTGAAAATGGCCATAGAAATAGTGAGTTTTCCCATTAAAAATGGTGATTTTCCATAGTTATGTTAAATTACCAGAGGGTATTCCACTGATATCATGATATCCCGAGTCATCGCTTCGCCTGATGTATTCAAGCTCGGCAGGAGCAAAGGGCTCTCGAGCCTGAAAAGGATCCAAGTAATCCAAGTAATCCAACGCTCGGTACGGACCAAAGTCACCAGTTCGTTTACTAAAATATTACAGTTCTCTATAATATGGTATAATATGGTATAATTGGTATATATATATATGGATACTCTATAAACATCTATAAATATTTAAACTAATTATCCATCAATTCACCATCATATTCACCCATGTCGAATTCCCGGTGACGTTTCTCTACCCTCCCAATTTTGGAGGACCGTCCATGATTCCAGGGTTTGACCCAGCCATTTGGAGTCCAACGTGATTCAGAGAGTTGATTGGTAGATGCATAACCCATTGTAACCCCATGTGTCCTGTGGCAAACCAACATGGATATCCGAAATTGCCCTTCGAATCACTTAGAAGTGGATGCTTTAGGTCTCAAGCATGGTGAATATCTATTGCCAGTTTCTTGATGTTTCTTGTATGTGACCTCTAACAATCCAAAACGGCAAAGGAACATGCCTAAATCAGTAGAAACGTCATCTCCAAAACAGGAACCAGCACATGGCTAGCCGGGAAATCCTCGAAGTAAATAGTTGATTTTCCCAGCTAGACACATCCATTTAGTTCGAGAAATGTCACATATTTCCCTATGTTTTTGCCATTGTGCCAGGACATTGCTGCACCTGTGGCCACTCCATCCAAACCAGGTCGCAAGTATAGACCTCACAGCATGCTCCATGGGTCACCATCACTTCGTGTTTCACGGAGTTTCCTAAAATTGTGATAGCCCAAGTCACCATGGGTTTCAATACGAACATGGAAAAAAATGAATTGGATGATTTGGGGTACCAATATGTACCAATAATGAATGGAAACCCCCATATGGGGATTTCACGAGCAGAAATGACGTATAACTTATAACATCTTATAACCAACAAAAAAGAGATGTAATATGATGTAAGTAAGGGAGAATTTGCCACGATATTCAAGTTTGGATATGGATCAAAAACTTCTGTGGGGGTGCTGACCAAACCACAGAATCCAATGGCAATGTCTACTCCCCTCAACCGGCCATGAAGTGGTTGGGAAACTCAATTCGTAGTTCCTTGGCTCCCCATTTTATAAGGATACCCACAGCTCCTATGCTCCCTCCTAAGCATCGGTTAGTGGGTATCAACCTTTTATCTCTGGCCTCTGAAGTCAACTTCCAGCATTGGACTGATCATCTCCAAATAAATCGGACAGTGTAACATAGTAATTTCCATTAATTTCCCCAGCACTAATCATCAATCAAGAGGGGTCTAGCATGGTTTAGCAGCCATGGCCCATCGTGCCTCCAGTCGATCTGGCAGAGATAAACCATGATCGATGGGGATCAGGCGCGGCCTCGCCCCAGTCAGACCCCGGCCATATCGGTGAAGTCCCAGTCGGTGTCTAAAGCCATGGGACATACTATCGCTTAAAAAACGGTTAACAAGGAGAACATGATGATGAAGCAGTGGATTTGGGATGATTTGGGAGTACCCTGAAAACTCAATCTTTCTGGAACACGAGATAATATGGGAACACACCTTACAACTATGGGAAGATATACATGCTTACAGTGTGTTACCCAAAATTCTTTGGGTCAATGATTCACTCACTTTCATGGGGGGATGAACCCCTTGCACCATGATTTACGGATGGACCCCTTGGCTGCTGAAAGGGGTAAAACAGGTCACAACAAGGGGTATATATTGCAATCGGCTTTTCAGCAATCAGTTGGAAAAGAAAATCTATTTTTCTGTCCATTTATCTAACCGACACTCTGCATTCCCCGCATTCGTTCTCACCTCACCCCCATTTTTATTCTTCCACTCCTTCGCTTCCCTCGTATCCTTTCATACACAACCAATTCTCCCTCGCCTAACCCCTTCTCTGCAGCTCCCTGGTACTCTGGTTAGTTCAAATCTTGCAAAAATATCACTATTCACTAAAGCCATGATCCACACCGCCCCGTCGTACTCGTTTCGTCGTCTCGTTTTCCTCGTCGTCGTAAACGATGTATGTATAAATACAATTTAATAACATAGACCCGGGCAAGCCGGCGGCGGAAGTTTCCCAAACATAAATGACCTATAGTTCAAAGACACCCTGTCCCGACCGTGTCCTTCCCTCGACACTCCACACCTCACACTGCACTCTTCGCACTCCAAACTTCAAACTTCACACTCCACACTTCACACTCCACACTTCTCACTTCTCACTGCTTCCTTCACACTCCAAACCTCACACTTCACACTTCACACTTCACACTGCACACTTCACACTTCACAGTCCACACTTCACACTTCACGCTTCACAGTCCACACTTCACACTTCACACTTCACAGTCCACACTTCTCACTTCGCACTTCACACTTCACACTTCACACTCCACATTTCACACTTCTCCTTCTCACTGCTTCATTCACACTCCAAACTTCACACTTCCACACTTCTCACTTCGCAATTCACAGTCCACACTTACAGTCCCCCACTTCTCACTGCTTCCTTCACACTCCAAACCTCACACTTCACACTTCACACTGCACACTTCACACTTCACAGTCCACACTGCACACTTCACACTTCACACTTCTGCCGGCTTCCTTACAATCAAAAGTGGGCATACACTCTCACTTAGCACCACCCACTTCACACTTCACAGTCCACACTGCACACTTCACACTTCACAGTCCACACTTCACACTTCACAGTCCACACTTCTCACTTCTCACTTCGCACTTCACACTTCACACTTCACACTCCACATTTCACACTTCTCACTTCACACTTCTCACTTCTCACTGCTTCCTTCACACTCCAAACTTCTCACTTCGCACTTCACACTCCACACTTCACAGTCCACACTTCACACTTCTCACTTCTCACTGCTTCCTTCCCACTCCAAACTTCACACTCCAAACTTCACACTTCTCACTTCGCACTTCACACTCCACACTCCCCTCACACTTCACACTTCACACTTCTCACTTCTCACTGCTTCCTTCACACTCCAAACCTCACACTTCACACTTCACACTGCGCTCTTCGCACTCCAAACTGAAACTTCACACTCCACACTTCACACTTCCCACTTCCCACTGCTTCCTTCACACTTCACACTTCACACTGCACTCTTCACGCCCCACACTTCCACTTCACACTGCTCTAAACGTACGTCCAACAAAAAAAACACGAGTGCAGCCATTACATTGCGATCTGCAGAGACTGAGTTGCAAAACACAATAGAACTACGCGCAACGGCGTCGGAAATTGCAGCTCCAAAACCGGATCTCGACGCCAGAGCGAAAAAAAGACGATTTTGAAGCACTTTTTAAAAGAATTTTTAGAAGGAAATTCACTAGCGCCAAAATGAAAAAAAATCTGCCAACAAATCACTGTGGCAGCCTTCATGCAGCCACTCCAATACGATTTACGAAGTCCAGCTGCAAAAGACAATAGTATTACCAATGCAGCCACAGCACGAAGGAACCTTGACGCAGCCTTTACAATGCGATCTGCAGAGACTGAGTTGCAAAACACAATAGAACTACGCACAACGGCGTCGGAAATTGTAGCTCCAAAACCGGATCTCGACGCCAGAGCGAAAAAAAGACGATTTTGAAGCACTTTTTAAAAGAATTTTTAGAAGGAAATTCACTAGCGCCAAAATGAAGAAAATCTGCCAACGAATCACTGTGGCAGCCTTCATGCAGCCACTCCAATACGATTTACGAAGTCCAGCTGCAAAAGACAATAGTATTACCAATGCAGCCACAGCACGAAGGAACCTTGACGCAACCATTTACAGGGAGGGAACGATCCTAGACTTGCAAATCACAATGGAATTCCATCGGCAACTCATCCACCAGCACCACTTGCAATCCCATTTACAGTGAAGGAACGATCCTAGAGTTGCAAATCACAATGGAATTCTGTCGACCGCACATGCACGAAAAACAGTTGAAACCCCATTTACAATGCGGAACCGATCCGAGACCGATCCGAGGATGATCCGAGCATGATCCGACCACACACGAGACCGTCTCGCACCCGTCGCACCGCAGAGGTAGATCATCGAGGTTCGGGGACGGACTTTGTATGGAAAAACATAGGGTTTCGTGCATCTGCTATCTCTCAAAAACGCATTTCGTGCGAGACTTTCTCCAAAACTCCATCGGCAAAATCTTCCACAGCACACCATGCAATGCCATTACATGAGGGGAACGGTCCTAGCGTGCAAATTTCACAAGGGAATTCCATCCGAAAAAAAAACTCATCCACCCAGCACTTATTGCAACCCAATTTACAAGCGGGAACGATCCTCAGTTGCAAATCACAATGGAATTCTGTCGAACCACACATGCACGAAAAACAGTTGAAACCCCATTTACAATGCGGAACCTATCCGAGCATGATCCGACCATGATCCGAACATGATCCGCCCATGATCCGACCACACACGAGACCGTCTCGCAACCGTCGCACCGCAGAGGTAGATCATCGAGGTTCGGGGACGGACTTTGTATGGAAAAACATAGGGTTTCGTGCATCTGCTATCTCTCAAAACCGCATTTCGTGCGAGACTTCCTCCAAAACTCCATCGGCAACTCCTCCACCAGCACCACTTGCAATCCCATTTACAGTGAGGGAACGATCCTAGAGTTGCAAATCACAATGGAATTCCATCGGCAACTCATCCACCAGCACCACTTGCAACCCCATTTACAATGCGGGAACGATCCTACAGCTGCAAATCACAATGGAATTCTGTCGACCACACGTGCACGAAAAACAGTTGAAACCCCATTTACAATGCGGAACCGATCCGACCATGATCCGCCCATGATCCGCCCATGATCCGACCATGATCCGACCACACACGAGACCGTCTCGCACCCGTCGCACCGCAGAGGTAGATCATCGAGGTTCGGGGACGCACTTTGTATGGAAAAACATAGGGTTTCGTGCATCTGCTATCTCTCAAAAACGCATTTCGTGCGAGACTTCCTTCAAAACTCCATCGGCAACTCATCCACCAGCAACACTTGCAATCCCATTTACATTGCGGGAACGATCCTAGAGTTGCAAATCACAATGGAATTCCATCGGCAACTCATCCACCAGCACCACTTGCAATCCCATTTACACTGCGGGAACGATCCTACAGTTGCAAATCACAATGGAATTCTGTCGACCGCAAATGCACGAAACACAGGTGAAACCCCATTTACAATGCGGAACCGATCCGAACATGATCCGAGCATGATCCGAGCATGATCCGCCCATGATCCGACCACACACGAGACCGTCTCGCACCCGTCGCACCGCAGAGGTAGATCATCGACGTTCGGGGACGCACTTTGTCTGGAAAAACACAGGGTTTCGTGCATCTGCTATCTCTCAAAAACGCATTCGTGCGAGACTTCCGTCAAAACTCCATCGGCAACTCCTCCACCAGCACCACTTGCAATCCCATTTACAGTGAGGGAACAATCAATGACCCTAACTAACTCTTTCTTTGACTAACTCTTTCCCTGACGAACTCTTTCTTTGCTAACTTCTTCTTTGGACTACCTCATAATCCTGACTAACTATTCTTTGACTACCTTCATATTATCATGGAACTAACTCTTTCTGTGACTAACTGTTTCTTTGCTAACTCTTTCTTTGAATAACTCTTTCCCTCACTAACTCTTTCTTTGACTAACTCTTTCCCTGACTAACTGTTTCTTTGCTAACTCTTTCTTTGACTAACTCTTTCCCTCACTAACTCTTTCTTTGACGAACTCTTTCTTTGACTAACTCTTTCCCTGACGAACTCTTTCTTTGCTAACTCTTTCCCTCACTAACTCTTTCTTTGACTAACTCTTTCCCTGACTAACTGTTTCTTTGCTAACTCTTTCCCTGACTAACTGTTTCTTTGACTAACTCTTTCTTTGACTAACTCTTCCCCTGACTAACTCTTTCTTTGACTAACTCTTTCCCTGACTAACTGTTTCTTTGACTAACTCTTTCTTTGACTAACTCTTTCCCTGACTAACTCTTTCTTTGACTAACTCTTTCTTTGACTAACTCTTTCTTTGACTAACTCTTTCTTTGACATTCTAAAAGTCCGTAACACGGAAGTTTCTCCCACTAAACTTCCTTTGATAATATTATATAATTATAATATATAATAATATAAATTAATATAATATGTTTGTTCCGATATGTTTCCACGTGTTTCCACGCAACATGGGGATGTCCCTTGCCAGGTACGTTCTACGAGAAGGATATCATTCAGAATGATCAATCAATCCAGCAATGGAATGGAGCCCTTCTCTACTTAGCAGAATCTATAGCAAAACAGGCAGGAATCCATTTTAGGTCACCAAAATATAGGTATGCCTCGAAACAAACCTGATTAATAATGCCAGTTGAACATCACTAGTAATACCAGGTCATACCGCACCATGCAGATCCAATCGATAAACTCGTGGGGATGCTCATCCCAACCTATTCCCATCCTCCATGTGTTTGGGAAGAAGCCATACCCCGCAAACAGAAGCACTACACCCAACAACATATTGTATTTCTATTGGGAAAAATTATGATCAACCAGTGGATTTGAGGCTTTCCCCTTCAATTTTCAGACAACACCCGACATTTTTTCTAGTCTATATGGGGATGGGTCAAAACCCTGGTACCTAGTGAACCCCAAAATAGCTGGTAAATGGATGTTCATCCCACTAAAAATGGTATTAATAGGTATTGACCCATACCCATATTCTGCAACCATACATTTACCATGTATTCCTTTAAGATTTTTCGATGGCCTCATCTGTGAGGGATAGGATGGGCTAGGGCTCGCCTCTTGTTTTCGATGGCCACAAGGAGATTGCCATCGTTTCGGTCTAAGTTCACAATCCGGACCTTAGAGCTCTGTCAGGTCAAACTACCATATATATATAAACTATGGTTAATGTCTGCCATAACTATGGTGATAAGGAAATATGGCAATTCCCCAACTTTGAGGAAACAGCATGAACAAAAACCAGGCGGCCCGGTTTTTTTTGCTTGTCAGAGCTTGGGAACAGCCAAGTTTGACCAAAAACTGGTGTCTTGTTTTTGCACATCCTCAAAAATAAACGTGGCCCGTGTGGTTTGTCCACTGGGGTTGCCAACTCCAATTTAGATGGCCAACAAATGCCAACTGATGGGGCAAATCTTCGAACCAAAAGGAGGGACTAAGCTGCGGGCGTCCAAGATACCAATCGCATGCACGGAGGCGGTATTAAACATCTCAGCAGTGGCGGAGATCAGGTGGCAGGGGGCAAGGGGTTTCAGAAACATCGGCCAGCTGAGGCCATAATTAATCCATTCTCCGGTGTACAGTAACATAGTCAACACAACTTACTCATGATAAACTTAGGATTACAAACAATACAACTAGGATCAACATGAAACATAAGAGAGACCTCCTAGAAACCCTGATGGAATGATGGAATGTGGCAAATCTCTCCATTTTGAGTGTCCATTGAGGGTGGTGTTCCTTCCGATGATTTATGCGTTGCTGGATGTCATCGCTTGCGAAGCCAAGAAATCCCACCTGATGAGAAGTTGCGGTCCGCACACAAGCCGTGTGGTTCGTGTCAGGATTCAGTTTCCAATCGGCATTTTTTCCCATCAACAGTAAACACATCCTTAATTTCAAAAAACATGATCAGAAATGCGCGTCTTCTTGGGATTACCATGGGATTGAGCTCATCCATCATCGTTTAATATCGTTTCCATCCTGACTTTTCATGACTTTCCTCACTTGGATCCTCCAATTTCCCGGTCCCCCGGGCCCCGGGCCGAACGTCCATAGTCCCCACAGGTGCCATGCGCGTGCACAAACTCCTGGAAGGCGCCAATCTTCCAGGCCACCTGGGTCTGGGACCATGGAATTTACATGGACTATTTGGGAGGCATATGGCATATGGATGCATATGGGGCTTTCCTGAAATGGGGGTACCCCAATAGCTGGATGGTTTATAATGGAAAATTCTATTAAAATGATTGTGGATGATTTGGTAGCCCTATTTTAGGACCCCCCCCTGGGTGACATGTATTCAACAATACTAGTACTTAATAAATCTTATATAATTGTAGTAGTATAGTACTTAATAGTGTTCAATAGAAATCACTACAGTCTCTAAATAGTACTTGAGAGTATTGAATAGGGTTTTCCGTTACATGAAAAAGGGGTTTGAAGGTCCATTGTACAGGTCATGCTTTGCCAGTGGAACCGAAAGTCAGTTTTTATGTGGGTTCAACTGGGCTTCATGATTCATAGCTTCAATCCCGGTTTTTCATTGTTAATCACATTACGTCCAAATGTGTGGCCAAAACTGTGTCTTGCTTCAGGGATACTCACAAGACCAACAAGACAAAAAATAAGTCCAGGCAATTCCAGGCATAGGAAGTACTGTTGAAACTTGCTGGTAGTTTTTTTGATGAATTTGATGGTCGCTGCTTTGTGTTGCCTGACATCAACTGACATCCCTTCTATTCCTCCCCTTCTATTCATCCACTGGTCACCCTGCACACCCTGGTCACCTTCTTGTTGGGGTTCACGAATGCTGGATGCTTGGCATGTACCAAAGTCGTTGGCGGAACCCCTGCAAAATGCTTGTGGTCCAGCAGATATGCCGCTACCTGGCGAACGACAATGATGCATAAAATCACCTTGGGGGATTCCAAATGTTTGAAGGATGAAGAGGGTAAAATTCCAAATGTGTTTCTGGCGAGACATCATTTTCATTGGAGCATTCCCCTTTCTTTTACTTCATAAGTTAACACAAGTCCAGAATTCACCTTGTGTATTTTGTTGTTTGGTCGACAGTCTACACCCACCATGGTTTCTCATCTTGTAGCTTTCATTCAAAAACTAGCTCAACTGCCCGGCCTCCCTGGCTGCTTGTTGAGTGGACAGCACGCCCTGTCGCAAGCCGGGAGAATTCTCCTAGCGACACGGCGGCTGAAAAATGTTCAACAGTAGGAAAGGAGGATACAGGCCTCAGTAGGAAAGGAGGATAGTGGAGGATATATATATATACACATACGTGTATATATATATAAATACACATACATATACGTATATATATATATATACACAGAGAATGTATATCTAAGATTATCTGAGGGTTTTTATTTCCTCCATAACTATGATTTTTTCTGCATGTTAACCACTTTTCATTTGCCGAACAATGAAGTTTCAGTCACTTCATAGCCATCCCCATAGTGGCCATTCTCCGGTCTTACTATGGGTTTCTCCGAAAATATGGTATCCCAAAATCTGAATCTATTGGCTGATGATTTTAGATGGGGGGGGGCCGGAAAAAACGATCATTTTTGGAAAAAACTTAAGTCACAAATTTAAGTCACACCTATATCCAAGATATATTTTTGCTAGTTTCACGTTTGCCGGCATGTACCATCCCGTAAATCAAGATAGGTAAGGAACATCCATGAATTTCCCTAGGGAAATGATCTACAGATGATGAATTTTGGATGGTCAAATCATGGTTTTTGTCGGGTATGGTCATCCCTCCATCAGGGAATCGTGGAGGTCATCCATGATGGAGGGATTACCATCCCCTTTTATGGGAACATAACCAATGCAACTTGACACCATATATGCCATAACCATAGCACATATTAGACAACTTACATCACTTTCTCAATGTATTGGTTTAAGGGAAAAAACTACGGGAAACCATGTTTTTGTCCCCCAAAAAAGGCGGTTTCCTTTTAATTTTCCCATCATCCAGTACTGGGAACTGGGAACCTACGAGCGTCTCTGACAGTCCTTGGCCACATAGCCCCGCGGATTGTTGGGCGCAAAGGCTTCTTCATCCTTCGGCTTAAACCTTGGACGTGGCGTGGCGTTTTATTTGGTGAGAAACATGATGGTCAACTCCCCCATTATATAGTAGTGGTTAACAACGGTTATGGATGGTTAACATCTATTGATAGTGCTAAAATCTGCTAAATAAGTGGGTTAACATCATTTAACATCTATTAATAAGTGCTCAATAAGTAAATGAATAGTGATTAATAATGGATTCATATGGATTACCCCCCAATGAGTCACATGACAAGCTGGACAATCCACCATATAAAATCATATAAAGTTGGATGATTTTCGACGATTCTCCCATTCAAACCTCCATTTAGTTCGGGGATTCTCCAGCAGGCCACGTTTGATTACCAGAGGGTATGTTGATTGGTGAATGATTTCGGGTTCTTCTTGTTCACTTTTTCCCCAAACTGGTGATGTTTTTTCTGAACTTTCTGAAATTCCAGATTGCCTCGAGCTCCAGAATTTCATAGTTGACAAAATGCACGGCCCCTTCAAATCCAAACAAACGGCAAAGGAGTGGAAACCATCCTCTAGATTTATCAAGCTCGGACATGTACGGAGCATTACGGAACTATAGGGTCCACCATGGATCACTAGGGTGATGAGTCCAGCAACATAGAGAATATAGGGTTTGACCAAAAAAACAAAACCAGAGCGAACAAAAAAAAACAAACTAGAAAACCAAAATCAAGGAACAAAAACAAGAAAAAACAAAAGAAAACAAAAAGAAAACAACACGCCAACATGATAAACAAGAACAAAAACTGAGGAAAATGCAGTTTTTCCCCACCTGCCAGGTGAGGGTTGTTAGATTTTATCAGAGTTGTTCTCCTCCTCCTCCTCGGCTAGCTGTCCTCCTCCTCCTCCTCTAGTTTCTCCTCGACCATGTCTGCATCAACTTCCACCTCCACTTCCGCCTTGGCAACTCTTCGCCAAGCTCTTTGCCAGCTCTCTTCGCCAAGCTCCTTGCCAACTTCCCAGCTCAGTGTGCACTGGGACCTCAACCTGGGAGCTGCCCAGCTCAGTGTGCACCGCTGGACCTCAACCGGGGACCTGCCCAGCTCAGTGTGCACCGCTGGACCTCAACCGGGGACCTGCCCAGCTCAGTGTGCACCGCTGGACCCCAACCGGGGACCTGCCCAGCTCAGTGTGCACCGCTGGCCCTCAACGGCCAGATAGAATGCCAGAAGATATGCCAGATGGAATGTCAGATAGAATGCCAGACGATATGCCAGATAGAATGTCAGATAGAATGCCAGAAGATATGCCAGATAGAATGCCAGAAGGTATGCCAGATAGAATGCCAGATAAAATGTCAGATCGAATGCCAGAAGATTTGCCAGATAATATGCCAGAAGATATGCCAGATAGAATGCCAGAAGATTTGCCAGATAATATGCCAGAAGATATGCCAGATAGAATGCCAGATAGGATGCCAGATAGAATGCCGGAAATTATGCCACAACATATGCCAGGAGATATGCCAGGTAGAATGCCAGAAGATATGCCAGATAGAATGCCAGAAGGTATGCCAGATAAAGTGCCAGAATCTTTGCCAGATAGAATGCCAGAAGATTTGCCAAATAATATGCCAGAAGAATAGGGGCCTGTTAGTGGGGGGTTGACCCCCCCCCTTAATGTACTTTAACCATTTGGCTGTACTGCCTCACTTTTCCAATGCTGCAGGTTCGCGATCGACTATGTTCAACCCCCGCATGGAAATTTCACCATGGGCAATCGATCTAGGATCTGGCCGCCCCATGCATAATGCCACCTGGCCGGGAATTGTCCAAAACCTCGACAAGACATTCATCTGGAAAGCCGCCTATTTAGTCTGATGTTTTTTCCATGGTAGCTGTACCGCATTGTACCACCAGGTAAGCAGCAGATGTGACCCACAGTTTGACGTCTCTGTTGAAACAAGCCACAGGACTGTTATGAGTGCTGTCCCAGCACTGCTATGAAATATGTAAACATAGTGACATAAACGTGCTGTCACAGTCGCGGCCAAAAATTAAACATGGATGTAAAGTCTTGTCAGGGCATCATCATAAAAGGTGGATATACAATGACACATACGTGCTGTGACAGCACTGCAACCTTTGTCCTTAACCGCATCTTCGGGCAACATGGGAATGACTGGATCGGCTCCACCTGTGGAGTGCGCTGGGCATTCCTCAGCAGTGCGCCATATCATCCCATGTGACATTTGTTTGATAGTAGTAGTGACGTATTGCTGGGCGGGGAACATGCATAAGTTTAATCCATGTCAGCCATATGCCATACTGCCATACCCAGCAACATCAACAACCCAGTAGTACAGAGATCAGCTGTCAACAGGCAGGTCTTGGATCATCAGTGCCATCTCATGAAAACAACTTTCCGAACAAAAACACCTTGTTGGGCCTTGTTCTCAAAAAGTTGTGTCATCCCACAGTTTGAATCACATGGTAGTCACAGTGTCTCCCTATGTTTGTGGACAATGTCACATCCCCATGTACGACTGGAGGAATTCTTCAGGCTTGAGCCAGGTTGCCTTTATCACACCACCAACCCGTCATGATGTATTGTTGTGTGCTGTAAAGTCTCACACCACCCACCCTTCGTGATGTATTGTTATGTGCTGTAAAGTCTCACGCCACCCGTAATGATGTATTGCTATGTGCTGTGAAGACTCACACCACCCTTCATGATGTACGGTTGTGTGATCTAACGTCTCACACCACCCTTCGTGATGTATTGTTATGTGCTGTAAAGCCTCACACCACCCTTCATGATGTATTGTTATGTGCTGTAAAGCCTCATACCACCCTTCATGATGTATTGTTATGTGCTGTAAAGTCTCACACCACCCTTCGTGATGTATTGGTATGCGCTGTGAAGTCTCACACCACCCTTCATGATGTACTGTTGTGTGATCTAACGTCTCACACCACCCTTCATGATGTATTGTTATGTGCTGTAAAGTCTCACACCACCCTTCATGATGTACTGGTATGTGATATAAGTCTCACACCACCCTTCATGATGTATTGTTATGTGATGTGAAGTCTCACACAACCCTTCATGATGTATAGCTATGTGATTTAAAGTCTCACACCACCCTTCATGATGTATTGCTATGTGCTGCAAAGTGTCACACCACCCTTCATGATGTATTGTTATGTGATCTAACGCCTCACACCACCCTTCATGATGTATTGCTATGTGCTGTAAAGTCTCACACCACCCTTCATGATGTATTGTTATGTGCTGTAAAGTCTCACACAACCCTTCATGATGTATTGTTATGTGCTGTAAAGTCTCACACCACTCTTCATGATGTATTGTCATGTGCTGTAAAGTCTCACACCACTCTTCATGATATATTGTTCTGTCTTATGTGATGTAAGGTTTCACACAACCCTTCATGATGTATTGTTATGTGATTTAAAATCTCACACCACCCTTCATGATGTATTGTTATCTGATGTAAAGTCACCTGAATAAAAGTTATCGGTAACTCGGAAGATTGTTTCCCAACTTCCTTTGATTAAAGATATTTTCGGGTCAATGGCATGGTATACTGAAGGTAAATTGCAGATAAGCCAAAAATAGAGTCTTTATATACTACATGGCGTGCTAAAGACAATGTTAAATTTCACGAGGTCTTGGGGTTTTGGGATTTTGAGGGTATATTGGGTTTCAAAGTCACAATGCATCATTTCGAGCAACCTGCGCGCAGAAGGGTCGTCAGGAAAAGTGTTGAATGTTGTGATTTTTGTTGAATCAGTGGTCCACAGGTCCAACTGGCGTTCCAGAGAAACTGAAACAGTCGGAAACAGTCGGAAACAGTCGGAAACAGTCGGGAGCGGCCCGGCGTGATCATGCCAAAATTGTCAATCCGCCATTTTTTTGCAAAAAAAACTTTCCGCGCAATCCCATTTTTTTTTTGAAAGTGCAACGGGAAACAGTTGGAAACAGTTGGGGCTCGTACCTTTGACTCGGCAAAAAAAGAGCTATTTAAAACCATTTAAGGTTCATTTTCTTTATAAACTGGTTTTAAATAGCTCTTTTTTTGCCGAGTCAAAGGTACGAGCCCCAACTGTTTCCAACTGTTTCCCGTTGCACTTTCAAAAAAAATGGGATTGCGCGGAAAGTTTTTTTTGCAAAAAAATGGCGGATTGACAATTTTGGCATGATCACGCCGGGCCGCTCCCGACTGTTTCCGACTGTTTCCGACTGTTTCCGACTGTTTCAGTGGAACGCCAGTTGGACCTGTGGACCACTGATTCAACAAAAATCACAACATTCAACACTTTTCCTGACGACCCTTCTGCGCGCAGGAGCGGCCCCTGCAGACGTCCCAGCTGTGGGTTTATCATGTTCCCAAGCCTAAACTATCCTAAACTGATTGAACTGGTGGTACAACATGGTCCAACTGGTGGTACCTCTAAAACCCCTATCAAAATCATTCAAAACCCATACCAAAATCAATAGCCATATCACCCAGTGCCTGAAGCTGTGGCACCCCTGAGCACAGATGCAACCTGGGAAGTGACTGATCCATCATTTTGGGATCATAGAAGCCGACATGGTGTTGACCAACCAACCCTGGGTTGGGATATATCATACATTGACAAAATGTCATGGATATAGGATATAGGATATAGGAAAACCACGAAGCCAGTCTGGCTATAATGACATATGAGTGCTGTCACAGCACTGTTATAAAACATGAAAATATGGTGATATATAAACGCTGTCACAGCACTGCTGAAAGACATGGACATGTAAGTGCTGTGACATGCTGCCTTTTCCAACGTGGCCAGCAGCATACGGACAGAGATGCACCTCTTGAGATCCCTGATGACATCTGTCAAAATGAGCCAATGGCTAATGTCCAAAATTGAACCTTGTCAGCACCTACCAGAATCTATATGATCCTATATGATTCTGTCACTTGCATTGGCGCTTTGCCGCATGTTCGGTCAGCAATTGGCTCGGTCCGATAAATGCGCATTCGAT